AGGAGTAGTAGTAGTGGAAGTAGTAGTAGCAGTAGTAGTAGCAGTCGTCGTCGTCCTAGTAGCAGTAGTAGTAGTCGTAGTAGTCGTCGTAGTCGTCGTAGTAGTAGTAGTAGTAGTAATAGTAGTAGCTAGTAGTAGCTAACTGTCGCCCGCTTGAAAAACGTAGGGATTCCGCTCGAAACCACAATCGAAACTGCGAGACTTGCAAATACCATGAAACTGCCAATACAAGCCGATCCACTTGACACACAACCATTCTGGTGGTAGTAGTGGTAGTCGTCGTCGTAGTTGTGGTTGCTGCTGAGTAGTAGTTAGTAGTAGTTAGTAGTTTTGTAGTAGCAGTCGTCGTTGTTGTGGTTGTCGTTATTGTTGCTGCTGTTGTTTGTTGCTGTTGCTGCTGCTGCTGCTGCTGCTGCTGCTGCTGCTGCTGCTGCTGCTGCTGGGGTTGTTTTTGTTGTTGCTGTTATTGGTGCCGGTGTTCTCGTTGCTGCTCCTGCTGTTGTTGTTGCCGGTTGGATTTTGTTGGTTGTCGTTCGTTGCGGGTGTTGTTGTTCTTGCTGGAGTTGTTGCCCCACAGCCGTTGTTGTTCACGTTTGTACCATTGCTATGCTTGAGATGCCCTTCAATCGTTATCACGCATCGCGTTCTGATACATAGTTCTGCATAGTAAACAGTGGCTGTGACTTGACGACTTGCCCACTTGCAACAGCGAGGAAGTAAGGGGCAGGCCTCGTGCGCTCAACAGAATCTTAGCGGGCACCAGAGCATAGCAAACACTGGGATGCAGCTCTCGGCATAAAGCTGACCCGTCACAATAGGCATGCAGTTGAATGAGGATGGGACAGCCAGTCCGTGACAGTCTGGTGCATCGGCAAATTTAGTCAAGGTCTGCGTCGTTGAGATCAGTGATGGAACCGTATAGATAGCCTTGCTTTGACACCGGGGGGTGTTTGAAGTACTTGCACATCGTCAAAGCTCGAGGCATTCTTGCGCCCTTCTCACGGGAAACAAGACACTTGCCATCGACGCACCCACAAATCCCCTGCAGCTGTGGCACTCCGGCCGAGGCGTCCGTCAAGTAAAGTTGGGTTGCACCTTTCAGGGTTCAGGGTTCAGGGTACCTTCAGTGAGCCATGCATCTGTAAGCCAGAAAATCCTGGAGAGCTTATTTGCGATGGCTCGGGGCGCGCACCATCCCAAGCTATGCTCATGGGGTTCCTGAGACGAGCTGCAACGACTTCGGAGGTTGATCCCTTTTGAGGTGCTACTCTGACGCGCTGTCCCATTTGTGGCGAGCTGTCAAAATTATGGTCCCTTTTTGGGGTACCCTAAATAATAGGTGCCATATGATAATAAGGACCCCAAAAGGGACCATAATTTTGACAACCACCCATGTGTGTAGCCCAATATGTTTCCGGCAGGCGTCCACTGCGGTGAGATGGCTGGAGATATGAGGCCAGCCGAAGGGTCTGAGACCTGCAAGGGCAGTATCCAGGACAAACAACACAATGGACACGGCCTACGGATCTTAGCGAAGTCAACTGCAGGCCTTGCTTGTTGTCGTCTTGCTTTGTCCATACACCCCTTCTGGCGATAGCCAGAAGACTTCCGTACCAGAGGTGGTGATGCCTCGAACCTTAACGGACATATAAATTCCTTCGTGCTCTGCAGGCCGCTACATGTCTCGCGGAGTGGCTTCATCCACCGAGTCCGCAAGAGTTGACACGAACATATCCTGCAATGGTTCCAGCTGGGACTGGGAACCGCAGCCGTGCGCAGACTCTCTCCAGTTTTGTGTGGCTTGTCTGTCCACGCCAGGTGTCCTGTGACGACATGCCGATGTTCGCCCGTGTTCCTTTGTTCACGGCGCCATGCTCTTTGCCACCAGCCTGAGCACAGTCATTGTAAGAAAGTCGCAGAGTCACACCACATACACCATGGAAATGCTAATCGTGACAGCAAGAGCTGTAGTAGCTTCAGCAAAACCTTAATTGCACCATGAAGTGCTTGACTCACGAAAAGGGAATGCACATGTTTGCATTATGCGGTGCACGTGCATGAGTGCAAAACTACATGCAAAGGTCTCATCTTCTTTTGGTGCCGGTGTGCTGCCCCCCTACTCTCTTCCGGACCTTTCTCATCCACGTTGATTCTAACGATGTCCTTGCTGGCTTGCCACCTAGCTCTTCTTCTGGTCTCTTTTGATCCCGATGCATGACGCTCCTGCTACACACTGGGGTGCAGGGCGGGGCCGGGTGCCTTATGGTAGCATCCATGCTGTGTGATTCACATGACGTTGTGTTGCAATTCACGGTCGCATGACACGACCTCTTGCGCACGCTGCCTATTCAGACATACATAGCTCTCTCTTTGCCTTGTGTGCAGTTCTCCCAACCCGCGCAGTAACCCCCTGGGCCGAAGGCCGACCACTACCCCCGTGCTCGCGCCAGTACCCTGCCCTGCTCCACTGCTCCAGCCTTGCCTCCCCTCTCCTCCCTGCCCCTGCCCCTCTGCCCTGCTGCCTCACCCTGTCCCGCCGTGCCCTGCCTCTATGAGGTTCGCCCCCTTCAACGTTCCTATTAACAACACATCTACGTGCCCAGCGCAAGATAATAGGGCAGATACATATGCACACAAGTATGCCAAACTTTTTCAGTATGCCAAAAAATTGCCCTGGCGAACATCTACATCTGCGAACATCGACCTGTCGTTGTCTGAATGCCGTCTTGCATGAGGCATGAGGCTGTTCTTGATGCCATGCACTGCTCTATGCTCTCTGACCTGAGTAACTGCGCGCCCCAAAACCCTGAATCCGAACCAGGCCTGGTTTCCCCCAACCATGGACCCTAAACCCAAACCAGGCCTGGTTTCCCCAGAAGATGAAGAAGGAATCAACGGCCAGACCGGAGAGCTGGAACACCTCCAAACAGCCAAATGAAAGCGCTCTACAAGGCGGCAAAGCCTACCACCACTGTAGGAGCAGTTTCTACGACGACAACGACGACGAATAGTAGCACAGCATCATAGGAAGCAAAGAGAAAAGAGCACTGATGTTCAGCGTCATGTTACCGACGAAGATAGTCGTCATGCTACCCATAACAACAACATGAGACTCATGACAATCACGATGCCGCTGCTCTGCCTGTATCCTACAAGTACCATTGGCGGCAAATAAAGTTTATGACTGACACAAACTTGAGGAATTCACGCTCGCAGGCGCGGCGTGTGCCTTGGAATCTGGTTGTCCCGTGTTTGAGGTGGTGTAGATCTCTGCTGGGTTGAAGGAGTCTCCAGTGACGACCTGTTTGCTAGCTTGGCAGTTCACTTCTGCTGAATTTCGGAGTTCTGGACCTTCTCGTTGTCAAGCCGCCAAACTGAATCGACACTGGCGTTCTCTCCGGCCTCAGGCTCCGCACATCAACGAGCAGTGAAAGCATGATGTGTTAGCACACGTTTCCCCGCACACCTTCGGAAGAGGATGCCCGCTGAAGTAGAGGTCACCGGCACCATTGACAGCTAACCAATGCCTCAGCGTTCTGGTATTACTTGGCATCTCCATAGTCTGTTGTGCGCCCCCAGCTTCCGATAGTCCACAGCTTAGGCAGGCTCGCGCTGAAGCCTTCAACAGCCGCGCGTTGTCGTCCGACTGTTTGCAGCAATCCGTTGCTCCTGCCCATCCAGATTCCAGGCATCTGTCATCCGAAAGCGTTCCTAACGTGGCAGTCCCTGTGCCCAGCTGATACCACCAAATCACACCTCGTGGTGGATCCTCAGCTGATACTTGCAGGATCTAGACATCTTAGGGTGCCTGGACCGAGGGCCCAACTGCCACGTACAATCTGGAGGATAAAGGATCAACTGCAATGGAAGTGGGACTCTGCACCTCGCCTGCTGCAAATACGAGAGGCACTGTAGCGTAACTGAGTTCCTGTAGTCTCCATTGTAGTTCCTTTTTGGGGATACCTTATAAAATCCTTACTATATAAACCAAAAAAGGAGCTACAATGGAGACTATGGGTTGAGCTCGTGGATGCTGCGCCTAGAACTAAGGGTCGCCAAACCGTGTCCGGAAGGATTGTGTAGCCCACTTGTTTCAGCGCCGGGAAGGACGAGAGGAGGTACTTCCTGCGGGACGAGGTTATGGCTCCTGCTTAATGGGCTTCCAGCGGGCTCCTGCCCGCTTTGAGGGCATCCGGCGACACCGTGTCTATCTTCGAGCTACCATCCTTGGCCTTCGGAACCTCGGGCCGTCAGCACAGGAAGTGTCCATGCCGTCCTAGAAAGATTTGAGGACTTTGAGGCACCAGCGAGGCACAAAGATCTACCGAAGAAGGTAAAGAGGAGCAGCAGCTTCGAGACTGCCTTAACAGACACGGTCCCCGTTACGCAAAAAGAGTGGTCTGAGTCTGAGAGTTTTCAGCACTGGGGCTGCGGCCATATGAAGGATTCTCCGCACTCTTCCGCTATCTGAAAAGGACAACAAGCTCGTCACTTCGATTTCAGCTCGTGTTGTGGGTTGCGACAGACTTTTTCCAACGTGTAAATCCAGGCCTGATCGGTCTCGAGGTGGTAGAGGGAAGGGCACCCCCCAATAACGAGCCAGGTGGCTGGGCAGGATTCTGTGCTTTCGAAACATACCACGCATGGTTCATGCAACGACGTGCGAAGGATTCGATTTTAATCTTTTGACGAGTGCTCGCATACTGCATCGCGTGTGATCTCAGTCGAGAAGGATGGGCAGGTCCCCGCGCAGCTGCAGCGATTCCGCAGCTGCCTCGAGAATTGCAGAGGGAACCCTGATAAACCGCCTCATCGACGGTGCCGAACGACTGACTATCCTGGCCCTGTCGCATGTCTCTTAGAAGCCTCCTCCTCATTGGGCTGGTTCTCTCGACCTGCGGCCCCACCGAAACCGGAGAAGGTGCAGGGAGACAGTCCGGGCACACGGCTCAGCATTGTAGCCACCCATGATGCATCCCTTCTCTGCCTCGGTACGGCGCGATGGGCTAAGCTGAAAGGGGTGTGACGTGTACCTTTATAGTAGATACTTAAGCCCTAAAGTACCCATATAGGGACCCCTTTAAGGCTTAAGTAACTACTATAAAGGTACATGGAGCCTTCGGGAATGAGGTGACGATGACGAAGACAACCTGCGGCCAGTGTTTGGCCCCGGGCTTGGATTCCTGAACCATCGTCGAGAAATCGCCTGATCGGGTTCTCACTGCCAACTTTCTATTACTTTACTATTCTATTCTTATAACATACTATACTATACCTATAACCATTACTATCAACACTACTTTTACTCTAACTATCACTCTTGCTCTCACTACTACTATTACTCTAACGATTATTCTCACTATCACTATTACTATTACAATTCTATCCTCGCAGGCTCAGAGCTGGGGCCCCCGCGGCGGCAGAGTGGGCACACGGTGCGCTTCTGAAGCCACGGAAGGATGCAGTCCTGGTTCTTCAGCATATAGATGATAAAGATATAACAAAAAAGAAGAGCAATAGTAGTAATAGGCGTATGATGAGAATCGTAATCATAACGATAACGGTTATTTTCAGACTTGAACTTATAGAAACACTTATCATGATAAGAGCAAAGGTAAGAAGACTAAGAAGGATTTTATTATTTGTATCAAAATTATGGTTGGCATTTTAAACTTAAAAAATACAAAATACATGCAAATATGATGATGGTGGTCACTGTTATTACTATAATGATAACCCACGACAGCTGCAAAATGTGCAAACGCCATGCAGCTTTGCCGGGGTGCCGGCGTCGTGGAAGATGTGACCACACGGCAGGTGGCGGATCTGGCCATGTGCACAATCCAACACTGACACCGACAACCGCTTTGTACAGTAATGATAGTAGTACTGATCATAGTAGTAGTAATAATAGTGTTGCTACTAATAAAATTAATCCTCATTTTCATAGCAAACATAATATAGCAAAATAATTGTAACAGAAATATAGCAGACACTTCTTGCCTTCCGCCCCCTGCGCAGGAGCTTGCCATGGCACACCTGGCCAAGTTGATCCAAGCGTCCACCAGTAGTTATAGCAGTACCTATAGTCTCCACTGTATTTCCTTTCTTGGGGGTTTTTCCCCTCCTACTTAGCAAGGAAAAGCTCGCATTGCAGGGTAGGGTTTCGGGTAATATGAACTACAATGGAGACTATAGGTGATACTCGAAGGCTCTAAGAAAGCAGAGTTTGTGCCGGCGCTGCCGCGCAACGCTCCCCTTTGGGGATGTCATGTCGAGTCGGCACTTCGGCCGCGGGTAAAGCCTCGGGCTGTTCTCTTCTCTGTCTTCAAGGTCTTCTGCTGGAGTCGACAGAGGTGCCGACCGCGACTACAGCCTCAAACAGTGGGGAGATCCTGTCATAGATTATAGGTGTTCAACAACACTTGCCGATCAAGGCTCGCAGCAACTCGTGCTTTCGGATGGTCAAGCCGGCGGCCTGCATCGTTCAGTCGGCCTCAGAATGCAGTTTGCCTCCGCATCTCGGGGTGTCATGTTAAGAGTTTCACACCTGGGCCGGTCTTGCCGCGTGGCCTGAGACACAGGGTAGCTCTTAGCAAGTACAGTATCCACCAGGGTGCATGAAACGGCGAGAACGCCTGGCGTCGGCGAGGTGGACCAGAAACGGCCTGCACCCAAAGTCCCACAAGATCCTCTGACGATCGGGTCAACCGACGTCTTTGAGCTTCATGCCAGCATTGCCTCATCAGCTGCATCACGAACTGCACGTCGCACTGTGCGCAGTGCTGCCTTGTGCAGGGAGGATGAAGATTGAACCACGAGCATAAGGATGCCAGTAATTCTGCTAGACATCTAGACATGGCTTGAGCAGCCGACAGATACAGCCATCTGCCTCGCAACGGCCAGCGACCTGCGACTGTGACAGTCTCGGCATGGCTCCGTGCCACAGCTGGTGGCATCCCGGCAGTCTTGCAACCACCGCCTCGCATTCGGCAGGCGGGGTTCTCGGACCACGTGGGCGGCATTCTCCTTCCAGGTGCGCCAGGAGTGGTGCTGTGCTTGCATCTTTGGGCTGATGCCAATGTCTGCCCTCGTTACATCCCTACATAGGCACTCCATCTGTGCTTCCCAGGCCTGCCGCTCCAGTGATCTAAGAACACCTGCACCAAAAAGCCACCAGCCCCAACTTCTCAGCAGGCAGGCGTTCCACTCGCAAGCATCAGTTCCACTGCGGCCTTGTGTACTGGTACCCTGCCTCAACAGCACAAGCACGCTTGCGGCCATCCCTCTGGAGAAGAGCTTCACTAAGTTCTATACTCTCTTCTAGCTTGCACGAAGCCGGCTCAGTGCGTGATGAGGGTGCTTAGAGAATGGCATGGGGTCGGTCTTGCTCCTGGACCCCGTCGGCAGCGCCTGTCGGGGGCACATCTTTAGAGATGCGTCTTTGGCTTGTTTTGACAGAAGTCGCAGCTATGGCTGGTGCCTGGCCGAGTGGGCTCGTGGTCAGCAGCCCGGCAGATGCCAAGCATCGGATCTGTGCGTGAATCCGACCTCGTCTAGCCAGTGGCCTAGACCAAACCGACATGGGGGTTTCCGAAAATAGGGGACCCTAATCTAGTACCCTAAATAGTAGGATCCCTATTATAAGGACCCCAAAATAAGGTAGCCCTTATTTTCTGAAACTCCCACATACTGACAGAAGGCAACGAAAACTTCACAAACTTCAGGTACCGGCATGGCTCTAGCAGCCAAGGTCGACGAAACTCGATCCTCAGCGAGGCCGTGGCCACTTGCGTTGCCCTGGGAGGGGCCTTTACGACAGACTGGAGTACATTTACACCTTATGTAATTATGTAGTAGAGTGTAACTGTACTACACCATCGAAGCATAGCATACTCAGTATACTCTAGCCAAGAAGCATAGAACTGCTGTACTACAGTATCGTATATACATACGGACGGACGGACGGACAGACAGAGGCATGGATGGAGAGTTATACCGTTATACCACAAACTATATCTATGTATATTATTTGCATGTATGTATATTATGGTACGTACAAGTTTTGTCTCACTTGAATCTGGATCCGTCTGGGCTACGCACACAGCGGCCTCTGGCCCAGCAGTGGCCAGCGGATGCCGGCACTCCGTGCAAAGCGCTCCGGGGAACTCTTTGGCAGAACGAACCTCGGCGTCTTCCACTCGAGGGTACTCAAAGGGTACCGTACTATATAACAGGGTACTACAAGGGTACCACTCTAGGGTGCCAGTATAGGGTACTATGATCGAATACTGCGATAGGGTACTATAGGGTACTATGATTATGATAGAGTACTCGTCTATGGCTATGCATTCTATGGCATTGCAGTGAAGGTGGATGCCATGGTCACGGTCAGAGCTTGAGCATCTGGCACGAGACTGCATGATCTCCGAGGGGCCTCCGAAAAGATCCGCCTCCACGGCCTCGGCACAAGGCTTCGTTCAAAGCTGGTCCTTGATACAATTTTGCGATGCTAGCACCCTACGGTATATACCCAAAAGCCGTGCCCCGTACTACTGCTGTACCCAAAAGCCGTGCCCCGTACTACTACTGTACCCTATAGCAGTACTCGGCCTCACTTCTGTCGCTGTGGCCACGCTCTCGGGCCATCCTCGGATCTGCTGCGGCCAATTACAACATATGGGAGTTTCCGAAAATAGGGGACCCTAATATAGTATCCTAAATAGTAGGATCCTTATTATAAGGACCCCAAAATAGGGCACCCCTTGTTTTCGGAAACTCCCACATATCTCCGGACGACCCCGACCCGGTCGCACCTCTCGGTCGGTCTTGCGGCTACAGCTTTTGCAGCAACTGCCCTGGACCGACGACAAGCACTTTGCTGAAGATGCTCTTGGCTGGCTCGGGCCTCTGAGCTTTCTGTTTGCTTCGCTTCTTCTCCTTCCATGGAAAGCCATTGAAATCTGGTGGGTCACGAAGATTGCTGCAGAGTGCACTTCTTGGCGGCCTTCTTCTTTTTGCGCTTCTGGCCTTGGCTTGTCTTCGATCTGACTTGCAGGCACGAAACATAATAGGATCCGGAACCGCGGCCAACTGCACGGATTCAGAAGCACTCGCTTTTTGGGTTCGTCAGTCATCTATGGAGATAGGCACGTCGGCAGCTGCCTCGGTGTCCAACACGTGAGCAAGTATCTGAGATTTTCCTGTGTCTCCGTGCACAGGTCCCGAGAAACAGCTGCCCCAATGCATCAAGTCACCTGCACTTCCTCCACTTCGTCATCGCTAACTGTCAGCTTTGCCGCTGTCTGAGCTGTTTGCTCTTTACGCTGCCTCCGTGCCAGTCTTCGCGCGGCACCTCAATGGCGCAGCTCAACATCCCTGCAAATCCGCCTGGAACATCGCATGGAGAAGTAACAACTTGGAGGACCATGGGACTTAGCAAGTAAGGTTATAAGTCCCCTAATTGGGGTTATAAGTATAGCTACCTTAGTTATAACCCTACTTACAAAGTCCCATGATCCTTTAAACCCTAA